TTCTTCGTCATATTTTAGCTTAAGAGCAACAAACGAGATATTATATGGTGCATGTGCGAATCCACCATTGTTCTACCTGTGCTGAAATGAAACGGAGAAACAATAATGATGAAGAAGTTTTAGGACATTCAGATGCTAAAATTCTAGAGGTAGCAAATGAAGCTACCTCCATAGAATGGTGGAACGCCACTGAGTAGAATGTACAGGATAACTCCAGCACTCCAAATATCAGCTTCAGGTCCATATTCTCGACGCAGAACTTCGGGAGCGACATAATATGCACTACCAACTAGGTCTTTGAACACATCACCTGCATCAACAAGTGGTTTTTGAATAGGTCACCCCTATATCCCAAAGAGTTGTAAACAAGTGGTTCAGCTAAAAATTTAATGGAACATAAGATAAAAGAGACATGATCCAGGTAACACAGGCTTGAGTTCTGTTACACGGATGGCTTCTTGATTTGCATGAACTAGATGAGATTAATCCTAATTATGAATTCAATGCTTTTCGCATACTTTATTGACCTTAACAAAATTTAGTAACTATATCATCAGAACCGGATACGGTTGAGATTTGGGGAGTCAAAAGTTAGTCTTGAAACTAATTTAGTGGGTGTTTGGACATAAGGATTGTAAAATTCCAAAATAGGGGGAAAACAATTTTCAAGTGAAAATGGTATTTGAAATTTAGAGTTGTGTTTGGACATGAATATAATTTTGGGTTGTTTTTGAAGTTTTGTGAGTGATTTGAGTGAAAATTTTGAAAAATAACTTTTTGGAGTTTTTCAAATTTTCGAAAATTTCCAAAATGCATCTTCAAGTGAAAATTAGAAATTTTATGAACAAACGCTGATTTCGAAAAAAAGTGAAATTTTTTTGAAAAAAAAGGGAAAAATTTCTTATGTCCAAACGGGCTCTTACTTACAGGAATATGGGATTCGTTAAGTTCGAGACTGACCCTTCTAATAGGTCAATCACTCAGGCTTGATTTCACAAACAGAACACACTGGTTAACTCAATCATCTTTTTCCTTATTGTCTTGTGTTTTACAATAAGCATTTGGAAAGCAAATAAATTTCTGCTTAAAGGCTCTATTATCAGTGTCTACCAGAAAATACCATTGTAACCTATGTTTGACCTACATGAATCACGATACTAGGTCCCCAATGAGATGGCTGGTTGTTGAGACATAAGAGTAACAACTAGGAGATCCCACTCTCCACTATAACACTCAATGTGAGCTCATTTGCTCCAGCCTCATGGGCAGGTTTAACTGGCACTTATGTTTGTAGGTTGCAGTAGATTACCAGTTTTCAGTCGAGGTGTGAATGCCTGACTGAAACAAGTTAAATTATAGTGATGGTGTAAAAGAACATTACACTGAGTGTATAATATTCATTATCAATGTATATAACATAAAATTATCCTTACATAGAGTTACCTGCAATTAGATTGTGTAATAGCAATATTTACAGTGTCAGTAAACAGAACTTGGTTTGAAGAAGACTGATAATACCTATCCAATAATACCTGGTTTGAAGAAGACTGATAATCCAAAATCAGTAGCTTTCAATGGTGAATTTTCATCGGAGCTCAAAAACAAGAAATTTTCTGGCTTTAAATCCCTATGCATAACGCCCATAGAATGACAATAATGAACCACCGTAACCATCTGCCGGCAAAGTCCGGCGGCAGCTCGTTCGGAATAGTGTCCTTTAGCAATTATCCGGTCAAAAAGCTCGCCGCCGGCACATAGTTCCATGACGAGGTGAACGTGATGCTTGTCCTCAAACGTTCCTTTAAGTTCCACGATGTTCCGGTGGCCGGTTAAGTGGTGCATGATCTGAACCTCGCGGCGGACATCGTCCACGTCGTCAGCCGCTATGAGCTTTCGCGTGGCGATTGACTTACACGCGAATTGCTGGCGCGTTTGCTTGTGAGTTACTAAATAGGTTACTCCGAATTGTCCGCGGCCGAGTTCGCCGCCGAAAATGTAGGTGGAACGAACTTCTTCCATTGGTTTGCCGAGGACACGGCCGATGCCAGAGAGTGGTCGTGGAGGTGGCGGTTGAGATGAAGGGATGATTCGGATACCGGTGGTTTCAGACGGCGGTGGACCGGTGGCGCCGCCTAAGCATGTGGTGGTAGTTTGGTCGGAAGATGAGCTGTTACAGTTGCCCATTTTTGGGGGGATTGTGTACTGTTCAGTCAAACAATTTTTTGGAGTTATATTTCCTGACTTGTCTGAAATTCATTGAGTGAAGTAACAGAATTGACCTTAGCAAAATTTGGATATTGTATCCTTTAATTAGAAATTTTTTAATTTAACTTCTGAAAATGAAGAACATATAAGTCGACACAAAAATTAAGCAAAGATGAGATAAGAAATTCAATCTTTCATTAAGATTTTAAGTGCTGGTCTCGAATTTATGCTGATTTTCTTCGACTTTTCTTTAGAAAAAAAATCTTAAAACATAATAATACAAGACAATTCACTAAATGATTATTAGTTCTATCGGAGGAATCTAATATCAACGTGTAATTGCTTGGATATTAAATATTCGATTACTTGAAGAAGTATATGAGAAAGTGTTTTACTCCCTTAGTATTTTCTCCTGAAACAATCTGAATTATATGAGTCAGTAATTATGTATATATATCACGTCGAGTAGATGTAATATATGCGAGAATACTTTATTTGAATTTTTCAAAATACTAAATTTAGGGAAAGATTGTAGGTGTCGATATTGTATACTAGTATCTAGAATCGATGAGATAGAACATATATGGATTTTTTTTTTGTTGCTAGAACGACTAAATTATATTAATAATTAAGGAGTAGCATTACATAGAGGTGATGCCCTGTTGGGGACATCTAAATCACCTGAGCCAGAAGGGCTGCTAGTCATATGGTTACAAAAACTATTAAAATTTTCAAGTTCGGCTAGTTTGTTTAGTACATTGTTAGATACTAATCTAATAGTGAGTGCTGATCCTTCTGTTGCCAAACTATGTGCAAGTACGTTCCCTTCCAAAGTTATGTCGGATCAGTGAATTCTCCGGTTCCTTCAGTAATAACCTGCACTCATTAACAAGGTTAGAGTAGAGAGAATAGTTGTTATGGGAAAGCAGTTGAGATATTTCAGTAGCATCAGTTTCAATTTCTAAACTATGGAAATTATAGTTTTTTGCTATTTGAAGGTCATTTTTTTAGCGCGAGGAGTTCCATGTAGGTGGGGGTGTAGCAATAAGCGGACATTCTGTAGCCCAGAATCCAGTTCCCAAATTTATCCCGGATTATTCCACCAATCCTGCCTTTTTATAGTTGTCTTTAATCACCCGTAAATATTGAATTTTAGCTCAGTTGACATTGAATTCTTAGACGGTCAAATTTATCATATTTGGTGCTTAAGTGATATGCACTTTAACTTTTATTAGTTGTTAAGATTAAATTGCTTGATAAGCTAAATATCGAATGCGAATATGTATTTATCGTAAAAGATTATGACAAATATATCCTTAACTAATATACACGACAATTCACTTCACAGGCTCAAAAAGAAAAAGAAGAGAGAAAGGACGACTTCATGTCAACTTCTTCTGTTTCAAGTTTCAACGCTAAGTTTTTTTTTATGAAATTAGCTAAAATTAAAATAGCCTTGTAATATTTTTTTATTACTTCCTTTAATCTTTCTCTTTTTCTTTTGTATTTTTTCTATACAACCTTTAATATTTGTGATAGACACTTATTTGTCTTGCTAGATAGAATAGTACTACCACTAAATGTTACGATTGAGTAATAATACTTTTTCATCCTTAATAACAAGTCCACAATTTAAACATAGAATATAAAATCGTTTTTGGTAGGAAATATTTTAGTCTGAAAGTGGAATTTTTCGGTATAAATTCGGACTAATCGGATCAAAACGGATACCAGATACTGCTTTGGAAACCAAAAAGAAAGGAATAGTAAAAAATAGCCCTCCAATTTTTATATTAGCACCTTTTAATCTAATTTTTCGTCTGCAAATTTTTTCCTTAAAACCTTTAATATTTTGAGATATGGGTGTGTTTGGTACGAAGGAAAATATTTTCCGAAAAATATTTTTCAATTTTTCCATGTTTGGTTGGTTTAAATGTTTTAGAAAATATTTTCCTTATGAACCCATTTTCCTTATCAAGATAAGCGAAAATATTTTCCAAAACTCCTTCTCAACTTTCCTCGCTCTGTTCCCNTTCTGTTTTTTCTTTTTTTTTTTCTGCACCCCCGCCCCACTGCCCCCACCCCGCACAAAAAAAAAGTTTTTTTTTGTAATTTTAAATTTCTGTTTTTTCGTTTTTCTGCACACTCCGGCCCCGCCCCTGCCCCCCTTCCCCGGGAAAAAATATTTTTTATATATATTTTCATTTTTAGTTTTTTCATCTTTCAGTTTACAGGTTCGAAATTTTACAAGTTCCAAAGTTATAAGTTCGGAGGTTTATGTGTTAGGAAGTTTACAGTTTTAGAAATTATAAAGTTTTCGGGTTCGAAATTTCGCGGTTCGGAAGTTTATGAAATTTGTGAGTTCGGAAGGTTGTTGGTTCGAAAGTTTATGACTTCATATTTATTGTATCTAAATTATTTATGAATACTCTTAAAAAGTTATTTTCCTTAATTTGCGTACCAAACACCGTAAAATGAATAAAATTACTACTTGTTTTCCAAGAAAATATTTTCTTGAAAACATTTTCCACAGAAAACATTTTTTGTTATACCAAACACACCCATAGACTTCTTTAGCTTGCCAGTTGCCACTTGCCTGTTAGGAATAACATAATCCAATTATGTCATCCAACAGCGCCCCACAAATTATGCTGTAGTAAATAATTATTTAGGACAAAGATAGTTTATTGTTAAGATCATATAATAAAGCATTGACTCACTGAATACTGAATAATGGCAAAGTTTGATTACTTAAAATCGGGGGTGGGGGTGGGGTGGGGGGGATGCTATAGAAATAAAATTATAATGAGTTCTCATACTACCACAAAATATTTACACCAAAACTACAAGAAAACAGCTATGTACAAATGTACATTAAGCCAATACTGGATACCAAACTCTTAAACTAACTTTCAGCCTAGTATCTCCCCTTATTACTACTATGTACTATAACGCCTCTCTACATGCACAAGGTAGGGGTAAGGCCAGTCTGCGTACACACTATCCTCTCCAGACCCCATTTATAGGAATATACTGGATATGTTGTTGTACTATAAGAATAGTAGGTTCAAGTCGAAATCCGACTTCACAAATGAAAGATAACAGCTTCTCAATCACCATAATGGAGAATAAGGTTGATAGGAAAAATTGACACAAATATCCGGAATTCTCAAGGCTTACAACGAAATGCAAGGATGAAGCGGCTAGTGTGTCTCGCGTGTAGTTTTTAGGCGTTACCAAAAGGTTTCCCTGGCTCGGATGTAGTCACTGTGCCCCTGCTGCTGTTTAAGGTGTGGCTAGAGCCACCGGCCAGCATTGCCATCAAACTTCCTCCGTGCACTCTTCCCTCGGAAACTGATGATGAGCTTCCACCAACTGGCGTATTCCCTTCCTTAAACTCAAAATATTTCCAACCTGTAGATGTCAAAATGTTACTTCCCATCTTCATGATATCAATATACATATCCTCTACGTTGACAATCTCCTTCATCTTACCGGGATTTTTGGGTGTTGAATCCAAGACGACAGCCCCTAGAGTGGCACCACCGTGAACACGTTTGTCTTGCACCAGGGCACCATGAGATTCACAAAGTCCAGACTTTGCTCTGGCAAATGAGTTAAAAGGACTCTCATTTTGGCCAAATTCAGAACCAGGTTGACCCCATGAACATCTCTTTCCACCACCGTGGGCCTTGCAGAAATCGGTGCTTCCCTGAGCGCTTTTTCCACAGCTGTCGAATTTGCATCTTTTACCACCACCATGGCGCACACAGAAATCTGTCCGGCCCCTAGCACTCCTGGAGCATTCTGGCATAGCACATCTCTTACCACCGCCATGTGCCACACAGAAGAGAGTCCCTCCGTGCACACTCTTTGGGCAAACGCCACCTCCTTGGTATGTACATCTTTTCCCTCCCCCGTGACCTTTACAGAAAGGTGTGCTACCCTCTGCGCCCTTATTGCACCCTTCAAATGTGCAACGTTTCCCACCACCGTGGGCCTTACAAAACAAGGTGCTTCCTTGGGCCCCTTTAGTGCACTGGGGGTACTGACACCGCCGGCCACCTCCATGTGAAATGCAGAGGCCAGAGAGTCCTTCCGCACTTTTCGTGCAGTTCTCCATCTGGCATCTCTTGCCCCCACCATGTCTAATGCATAATCCAGACTTCCCTCTGGCAGCGCGGGTGCAGCCTTCGTGACTGCAACGGCGTCCACCCCCATGCGTGATGCAGAAATCAGTGCGTCCTTCTGCACTTTTGGTACACCCTAGGAATTCACACCGCCTACCACCGCCATGGGCCTTGCAGAATGCGGTTCGACCCTCGGCTCCCTTATGGCAACCCGGTTTCTGACACCTACGGCCTCCGCCATGGGCAATGCAAAGGCCAGAAGCACCTCTTGCTCCTTTAATACATCCCTTGAACTGACACTGTTTGATACCACTGTTGCGCTGCTGCTTTGTTGACCCGGAAGTACAGGTTACTGAGCTTTTTGGATGTGTTATTACACTTGAGGAGGGATCAGGAAAGACTGGAGATGGCTCAACTTCTTTTATCGCCTGTTTCGAGAAGTAATTAGACTCTTTGTCGTGTGGCGCATGTAACGGATGAAAAAAGCTACCAGTATTTTGATGAGAACCTGTTGATACTTCATCAGTATGAAAAGCTCCAGAAAAACTGTGTGGCACAGTCGTAACATCAGATTCAGCAGCACTATTGGAAAGACTCAGTTCCAGATCAATTGCAGTCCCTGCGTCAGGTACTTTTGGAATGGAGATAGCTGAACTTTTCGGCCTTGGTGTCATCTCATTGGCAAGATAAAGACCGAAGTCCACTTCCAGGTCCATCGAGGACTCGTGAGTTTCTTTCGCTGGAGATATTGAGGTGCATAGAATGCCTGAACTCCACATACTTTCCGTGGAAGTTGATGAATGGCCTAAGCTTAGACATAAATATGAATCAATTTGCTGATCAATAGATCCATGAGTTGAGCTGCAATTGCATTTGATTTCCTTTGGGGCAGGGAATGAAGGTATTAAGGACCCAACAGAATCAAGTCGCAGTGTGGTATCAGCACAATCACCACCTTCAGATGCAGCTCCGCCAATTGGGATGGAATTGCCCAGATTCTTGGATGCATGTAACGACGGGTTTGCAGCAAACCCCAAATAGTGCAATCTGGGATCCATCACTAGGATGCAACACTACTATTGAACCAAATCTCAATTGCAAAAGAACAGTTGGCCTGACTTCCAGGCTAAGAATTAGTTAAGAGGCTAAACTTCCGGGCTAAAGAATTAGTTAGTGCTAAACTAGGGTTAGATGCGTCAAAAAGAGCACATCCCACCTCCGCTTACGAATCCTGACGTATCCTTTCTATCCATTATTAGATATCAAACTTTACTCCAAGTTCTTGTAATCAGCACCTAAGGAGTAAAACTTTGTGCAACGTTAGACCCTCCAGCGTCAAGTCATGACAAATAATCATCCTGCACAACACATTGAATTACATTACTGAGCAGATCTAAGATCACACATCCACCGTATATAAGACACAAGGTCGAGACAATATGAAAGGGAAAGGATTTTGCAGACGCAAACCAGAAAGATGAAGATCATTCTTTAACTGAATCAACGCGCCAAGCAAATAAAAAAAATTACCAATCACACTACATATTGATCCAAGCTAAAAAACCACTTTGATTTTGCCATAAAACCACAAGGAACAGATTCATTAGCATTAAAAATTTAAATCATTTTAAAGCTTGATAACTTTGCTGTCGGAGATAACATAAGACTACAAGGATATCGACTAAGGCAAACTTAGCAAAGCAGGACATGAAGAAGAAACATGAATTTGTCTACTTACGCAAATAGGGGATCACCTTAATTCATGGTCTACCTTACTAATGAATCATATTGCTTAACATACACTTTCCTACTTGCTTGTTTAAATCGAAAATTTCAGCCGAACTATTTGAAATCCAAGCAGAGCACTCGAGATTCAGTTTCCTTTTTTGCTTCCTCCACGCTATCCAGCTTCAAGAGTGCATCAACAGGAGACAAATGAGGAAAATGATAAGGATTTTAAGGCCATCTCCAACCCTTGCCTCCATTTTCTCCTCCAAAATAGAGTAAAGTTACTCCAACCATTACTCCATTTTTTACTCCAAAAAGAATATTCCATTTTATATTCTTCTCTCTCTTCAATATTATATTATTATCTTTTATTTAAATTTTATTTTCTTATTTCTATTAAAGAAATTCTATCTTTTTTTTCTTTTTTACATATTCATCAGATTGTCCAATCAGAAAATAATCGGATTGTTGCAACGATGAATAATGCAACTGAGACAAAAAATGAAGTTTTGACTGTTCAAAAAGAAAAACTTAAGACTAAAAAAATTGAAAGAAGAACATAAAATTTTAATGATCGATGTGGATTCTATTGTCGATCCGACTCGTCGTGAATTTTTGTGACAAGAACAACAACGATTAATGTATAAAAGAAGTCAACAATTTCCACAGTCACAAACACAACAATCCTCGACCCCATTTACTCAATACTATGATGATTTTGGTGTATCTGGAAACGACATAGGTCCCTACCAAGTTATTATGTTATTTACCGTAGTTTCAATTTTTATGTATTTTAATTTAATGTATTTCCAATTTTAATGTATTTTCATTTAATGTATTTTCAATTTTCACTTTTCAATTTTAGCAACATCTAATATTTTATATTCGCACCTTTCAATTTTAGCAACATCTAATATTTTATATTTGCACCATTCATTTTTTGAGATGATTATATATTTTTTGTACAATTATAACTTCTAATAAAATTAACTTACAATTTTATATAAAAATAATAAATGCAACAACAACAACAATAACGACTCAGTGAAATCCCACTAGTGGGGTCTGGGGAGGGTAGTGTGTACGCAGACCTTACCCCTACCCCGAGGGAGTAGAGAGGCTGTTTCCGAAAGACCCTCGGCTCAAGAAGACAAAAAGAGACAATATCAGTATCACCAATAGAAACCATAAGAAAAATAACAACATGTAAATGAGAAAGTAGATGCAAAGCAAACGTGATAGAAAGTAAATAGACGCAACACTATTGAAAACAAAAGAGTAATAAGACACAACATTGCCACTAGCTGACATCGGCAAAACCCCTACCATACTAGCCTCACAAAGGTACGAAGTAAGGTAAACTCAATTACATCCTAACCTACAACCCTAATACTCGACCTCCACACGCACGAAAATTAATTTATCAAAATTATACGTCAAAGTTAAGATGTAAAATTAATATTATAAAGATATTACATAAACATAATTAGGTATATATAAAGAGATAAATTAAAAGAGTCAAATAATAAAAATAATAATAAAGTAAGGATGAATAGTAATGGAGGAGATGAATCATCCCCCATTTGCAGCCAAAAATGGGGGAGCATTGGAGCCACATTTTTGGCAAAAACTGACTGCATTTTGGAGAAATGCAGCAGCATTGGAGATGCTCTAAATACCCCAAATACAAACAATATAATCTAAACCAGACATAACCAAGATACAACTAAACAATTATCTTTTTTTCTTGATAAGTACAACTATAACAATATATCAACAACAACAACAAACTCAGTGATTCCCCACTGGGGTAGTATGTGCGCATGACTTACCCCTACCCTGAGAGCGAGAGAGGTTGTTTCCAGTAGAAAACTATAGCAATATATCAGAAGAAAATATTGCAACATAAGCATAAAAAATCGAAGAACAAACTTATTACAGATGTTCAGATCTAGCTAAAGGATAAAGATTTGAAGACACATGTCCAAGAAAATGTTCAAATCCAAGTTAAAATAGCAAATCAAGGAGTAATTGTAAAACAAACTAGCTTCTAATCAGAGTTCAAGATTACAGATTCAATCACAATTCCCACCTTTTACTTTCCGGGGGAAAAAAACAGATTTGAGGTACAGGACTCAATGAAGAAAAAAAGGGCAACCCGGTGCACTAAGTTCCCGCTATGCGCGGTGTCCGGAGAAGGACCGGACCACAAGGGTTGAGTTTATTGTACGCAGCCTTACCATGTATTTCTGCAAGAGATTGTTTCTACGGCTCGAACCCGTGACCTCCTAGTCACATGGCAGTAACTTTAGCAGTTACGCCAAGGCTCCCCTTCAACTCAAGGGAGAAAGTACTGAATAAATAAAGCAATTAAGATAATACAATAGAAACAGGATATCGTATCGGAGACAAAAAGTTGCAAATTTTTAAAAAAGACAGAACAAAACTTGAAAATTAAAAATTGCAATACAAGGATAAATATTTGAAGGCACAACTTCTAAAAAAGGTCAAAACTTAAAACAGCAAAACATTGAAAAATTGCGGAAGTATATTACACTAGCTAGTAACCATATTCTCAAAGTTCAAGATTACAGATTGCAGCTAAAAATCCCACCTTTTTCATTCTTGAACAAAAAAAATTGAAAATGAAGCTAAGTAGATCAATTGGCATGTCTCAATAAAAAGTTACTGATTGAATAAGTAAACCAATCAAGAGAAACAACAAAAGAAAATTCAAAATCTGGGACAAAATGTTGCAAATATTTCCAAAAGGGAACAAATGTTGAAAATTTAAAATTTTTGCAATATGAGGATAAATATTGGAAAACCCAACTTCTAAAAACTGTCCAAATCAAAATAAAAACAGCAAAACAATGGAAATTGCTAAAATTATACGAGCTTCTAACTGTATTCTTAAAGTTCAAGATTACATATTTCAGCTAAAAATCCCACCTTTTTCATTCTTGAACCATAAAAAAACTTGAAATTGAAGCTAAGTAGACTAACTGGCATGGCTCAAATGAAAAAGTTATTGAATAAGTAAACCAATCAATTAAGAGAATACATATCAACAGAACAAAAGCTTGAAAATGAGATTAGAGATTCAAGAAAAGTACCTTTTCCAGGAGGGGATTTTCTTCTTATTTTTTTGAGAAGTTTTTACAGGTGGGGATTATGTTAAAACCCAAGAAAGTATATATGTACAGTGAAATTAAGAGAGAAGGAAGTAAGGCTTATTGGGATTGCTGAGCACAGGGCAGCTAACGAGGGAGAGACAAGAAAATGAGCACACTATGAGGACAGTAGGTATATATATGTGTAACTTGCTTCCACTTTTATTTTATCTTTTACTTAACCTTTATTTTTAATTAAATAAATATTTATAATTTGAGCCTTGAAAATAAAAGAAATTATTTCTTAAATGAACTTTAGTCATGCAAATTCGAATTAGTCAACTGATACTGAAATCATCCATTGAATATCAAATGATTAAAAAAACAATGTACTTATAAGTACCTAGTCATTAGGATCCAAACAGTGACCTATTGATTACTCTTTCTAGTCCTATCATTTAAGATTTTGATAAATTATTAAGAAAATTATTCCTTGGGTTTTATTTATATGATACTCTCTTTTTTTAAATGTTCAAAATAATATCTCATTTTTATATTAAATTTTTTATAAACTTCAAGTTCCTTATTTTACCTTTGATAACATACTTTTATAGTTACAGTAATATCGTAACTATAATGTCACGACATTTAAAAAAGATATAATAATATTATCGAGGTTTTTGGTTAAATTACTCTTATCTCATCTCTAAATGAGTAAAGAACAATCCGGTGCACTAAGTTCTCACTATATACGGAATTCAGAAAAATGCCGAATAATAAGCGTCTAGATATTGTACACAATCTTACCCTGCATTTATGCCAGAGGCGAATTCCGCGTCTCTAAATAACTAACCAAATGATATACATACCTTCTTGAAATAGTAGGAGTGAAGTTGATTAGTTAATTTTTCTTTTAATGTTTCCTGACTTCTTATAGTGAAAAAAATGAGTGGCAATTTCTTTTTCGCAAAAGCACACATACAATGGACCGAAGAGAGTGGAAAAACACAAGTTTATCTACATTCGTATCAAATTATTAGTCTGTTTGACCAAGCTTTTTTTTTTGTCTAAAAGTATTTTTGGCTAAAAATTAAATTATTTGGCCAAATTTTTAAACGGAAAAAAGTAATTTCTCTTAAAAGTAAAGGGATAGAAGTTTGGTCAAACATAAACATGTTATATATTAAATTATTAAAGTCATGGGATAGATTATATTGGGAGTAATTAATTATGATTAAATGGTGTAGTAAATTTTGTGATACAGTGCATGTACAATAGTTCAATCAAGAAAATAGTTGGCGTGGCTGCTGACTAGTGACTTATCCCTTTGATGAGTGGAAAGGTCAGGTTGGGACTTTTGCTGTGCGGACAAAGACACCTGACACTTTGTCTTTTTGACATCAAACTTCACTCACGCATTTCCACAAACACAACGTGTCCTCCTCCTTTTGTCAATCAACAATTTTCTTTTCTATCATCAAATCATCCTATCATATTCACTTAATATTAATATTCATATTCGCTTAATAATAAAGTTGGCAGCGGCTCGACACCGATCGTTGTGCCTCTACTGTTGTAGCCGCCTCCTTTTGTTGTTTCTTGGTTGGAGAGTTCTTAATAATACTTTTTCTGTCTCTGTGTGATATTTTCCGTTTTCCAAAATTCAATTTTTTACTTTGATCGTGTATTTGGATATACTCGATATATGACCTACAAGTCACATGTTTTAGCAGTAAAAATAATAATTAATAATTGCATTATGATAGACTATTTATATAATACTCTTAGTTGTGCGGTTTCTCACGGATCCTGCATGAATGTAAGATATTTTGTGTATCAGACTGTCCTTTTTAATCGTGTATCTGGACATAGAATATTTAAGTATTTCGAAGTAAATTTTACATATTTAAAAACTACGTAAAGTATTATAAGCACGTACATTAATAATTCATTATAGTTAAAAAAATATAGGAAAAAATTATAGTCAAAAGAGAATTCGTTTGACTTTCGAAATTTAAATACGCCATCACATTGAGTGTATTTTATTGTGAGAAACCCTTCACTACGCCACTTCAATCACCAAGTGGCGTGATACACTACGATTCTCTAATATAGGACTATATGTCACGGAACCATTTTTTTGAGGGTTCGGTGAGGACAGTGAAGTTAGCATGACTGCTACTTAGCTTCAGCCCTTAGACAATAAACAGCACAATCGTGCTAAGGAATGGCAATCACACGAAATAAGCAAGAAAACTATGAAAGAAAGAGACTCAGATTTGGGAGGCAAGTGCCAATTTTCTATTGTATTATGCAATATCTGATGCTTACAAAGAATGAGTATAAAGCCTATTTATAGAAACTAAAATGGCTATACAAAGGGGGTGGTTGGAAGGGCTGGTAAGGTTGTCCAGCAGCCTGGTGCATTCCAGCATGAAAAGCTAGAAAGGCAGACTTAGAGGGATCCTGCTGTCAACCATGGCCCAGAAGGTCAAAGATGTCTTCCCACTTTCGGTTGCTTGTCCCTTGGTCTGCTACCTTTCTGTCAAAGGTGCCTTCTGATGGCATCTCATGATTTCTGTGTGGCCCCAAGTGTTTTCCCACTGATGTCTGTCCGAGATTTGGGCTCGGACAAGCCATGCCGTCGCTGGAATTGCGAAAAATTAATAGGTGTGACGGCGGGGCGGTGCACTCTCCCCTACTTGAAATGGCGACGACCCCGGCGCCGCACAACTGAAGATAATTGTGGACTTGTTCCCTAAACTTCCATAAATCTTCGTACTTCTCCCACGATGCCTCCTCTGGCGAAGTTCCTTTCCAATGAACAAGGAACTGTGCGCTCGAATTACCCCATCCTTTTCCACGGACCAACTGATGGTCTATGATGGCTTCCACTTGCTTGTCTTTTGCTGGTGGAGTAGTAAAAATTTGGCTTCGGCTGGGCTGCGCCCGATCCTTGTCTTCCATGTCTTCGAAATATGGTTTCAATTGGCTAGCATGGAAGACATGATAGATTTTCAGATGGCGCGGCATGTCCAGTCGGTAAGATATTATACCCACTTTGGCAACAATTTCGAATGGGCCCTCATATCGGCGAATCAGACTATGATGTACGCCTCACAGTGATTTGAACTGTCGTGGATTCAATTTTACCATGACCTTATCTCCAATCCTATAGTTGACTGGACGACGCTTCCGGTCCGCAAATTTCTTCATTTTACGGGCAGCTTGTCAAGATATGACCTGGCTAGATCGACTTGTTCCTCCCAAAACTTGGCCATGTGATAAGTGCCTGGATTTTTCAATCTGACATTGGCGGGCAATGATTGAGGAGTGTTGGGTTGTTGCCCAGTTGCAAGCTCAAAGGGTCTCTTCCCGGTCGCCTTGCTGCGTTGCAAATTGTAAGAGAATTGGGCTATATCCAGTATCTTAGCCCAGTCTCTTTGATTGGCGCTGACATAATACCTCAGATAGCATTCGAGTAAGGCATTAATCCTTTCCATTTGTCCATCTGTTTGCGGATGAAAACTTATTGAGAAGTGCAGTTGAGTTCCCAACAAGCTGAATAATTCTTTCCAGAATGCGTCGGTAAATCGAGGGTCTCGATCGCTTATGATGTGCTTAGGCACACCCCAATATTTTACGATGTCCCTCAAGAATATACGTGCTGTCTCTTTAGCTTTGCAACCGGCAGTGGTGACCGAAAAGGTTGCATACTTGGTGAATCTATCGACAACCACCATAATGGTGCCGAATCCTTCTGAATTTGGCAAACACGGAATGAAGTCCATGGTGATACTATCCCATGGCTTCTCCACAACTGGCAGCAGCTCAAGTAAACCCCCAGGAAGTTTAGATTCTACCTTGTCTTATTGACAAACTAGACAAGTGCGCACGTATACCTCGATGTCGTCCCGCATCCGAAGCCAGTAATAAGAAGACTCAATTAGGGCCAATGTGCGTTTTTGCCCTGGATGACCTGCCCAGGCAGAGTCATGACCTTCTTTCAGCAGAGTACGCCTGAGATTTGCCCATTTGGGCACGTATACTCTTTTGCCAGTGGTGTACAAGAGACCATCTTCTTCCCAAAATCTCTGAGTTTTTCCTTGACTGGTCAAGGCAAGAAGTTGTTTCGACACGGGGTCATGTTGCATGACCTCTTTGATGGTCTTGATGATGCCACTACTTGCTGAGCTAACAATGGTTGCTAGTACTGTCTTGCGACTCAAAGCATCGGCAAATACATTAGCTTTCCCTGGTTTGTATTCCAGGGTGTAGTCGAATTCGGCTAGGAAATCTTGCCAACGGGCCTGTTTGGCAGATAGCTTCTTCTGTGTCTGGAAGTAGCTTGTTGCAACGTTGTCAGTCTTGACAACAAAATGTGCCCCCAACAAGTAATGACGCCAAGTCCTTAGGCAGTGGACTATGGCCGTCATCTCCTTATCCTGAACAGTGTAACGCCTCTCGGCGTCATTCAGCTTTCGACTCTCAAAGGCTATAGGATAGCCCTCTTGCATCAGTACGCCTCCTATAGCAAAGTCAGACGCATCAGTTTGGACTTCAATAACTTTCGAAAAATCAGGCAGGGGCAATACGGGTTCCTTGGTGATTGCTGCCTTGAGTTTCTCAAATGCCTCCTGGCAGATGTCGCTCCATTCCCACTCTGTCTTTCTTCAGCAAGTTAGTGAGGGGGGATGCAGTAGCCGAGTAACCAAAGATGAATCTCCGATAATAGTTGGCTAAGCCGAGAAAGGACCGAAGTTCCGGTACCTTTGTTGGAGCTTCCCAGTCCTGGATAGCTTCCACCTTGTCCCTATCCATCCGGATTTCCCCATGGCTGATTGTATGCCCGAGGAACTGTACTATGGGCTGTGAGAAGCTGTATTTTTCACGTTTTATGTACAAATCATTTTCCCTTAGTACCTTGAATACCTTGCGAAGGTGTTTCGCATGGTCTTCCATATTGTTGATGTAAACCACAATATCATCTAAATAGATGACAACGAACTGATCCAAGAAAGGATGGAATAATTTATTCATCAGAGTGCAGAATGTTGCAGGAGCGTTGGTCAATCCAAATGGCATAACCAACCATTCAAAAGCCCCATAGCGTGTAACACAAGTTGTCTTGGGCTCGTCTCCGTCGGTAATTCGCACTTGATAGTAACCTT